TGGCACAGTCGATGTTAATTACAGGTACGCAATGATAATGATATCGTAGTTTTGAAAAGTAAGTTTAATCTTTGCATTAATACTTTATGTTTAATTTGTATATATCTTAGATTTGTAAATAGTGTCGATAATCATACCGATAATGTGGCTGATGATATTCGAGGTAATGTTATACTTGTTCGTTCGTTACCGTGCTTTGAGTTGTGGTATGAATGTTCGTTCTTTGTGTGTGTTTAGGTTTATTATTTCTGTTATTGTGTTTCAGATTATAAAAATGATGATGATGAACATGACGATGATAATAATAAATGTGATGATGATAATGATAAACGTAATAATGATCAAAAAAATGATTGTTTTCTTTAAATATTAGGTAACTTCAAATAATTTGTTTTGTTGTGGTTGTTCGTTCGTTGTTTTGTTTTGACTTATGGTAGAAATATTTGTTTTCGTGTGTGTTTAGGTTTGTTATTTGTGTTATTGTCTTGTAGATCATAAGAACGATGATGATGACCATGATGATGATAATGATAAACGTAATGATGATGAGCTTAAGGATGATGATGGTAGTGAAAATAATGACATTTTCATTGAGAGAATTTTATAAGAATTACCGAAATTTAACATCGTTCAACTCCTTGGCCGTGTCCAAAATCAAACGACACAGCTTGCCCTAAAACTTACATAAAAACATAGAATGATTAGACTTATACCTTACTTTATTCCTTTTCCAATGTATGAGTCCCTCCGGGGTACTTAAACGTAATCTTCCTATATTAATCCACTAAAAACAACAGTAAAAACATAGTAAAACACTAACCTACGTTTATTATTCAGATTCTACTGTGAAGTCTGCAAAAGAGTATTCGTTACTCTTCAACAACTACAACAACATCTACAAAATCAAATACATATCGAAAAGTTAAATCAACTTGACATTTCAACTGAACAGTAAGTCAACAATATACTTATATTTGGTATTTTTTTCTCAGTCCATCTATACGAATTTTGCCGTTTGATAACAATATTAAACAAGAAAATACAGAGGAAAAACAGGGGTAAGTCACTATATGTATATTACTAAATATATATAAATTTAAGTCTGAGAATATGAATGTTGCTAAGATATGAATACCGAATTGAATATGTATGTTGTTAAGAATTCAACATAGTGCTTCATTTATTATATATATTTTGTTAATTTTAACATAATATACAATTTTCACTTTCAGGGAAGGATATGGTTGGTATTTAGAAAAAGCACCATCTAGCATTCAAAGAATGTTCACAATAAATGATAATGGATACACATGCAATATTTGTCGTAAGTCATTATTATTTGATATATTAAATATTTTTCTTTTTATCAGATACAACAATGAATGCTCTGTGGCAAGTTGAATCACATGTGAACGGAAAATCACATAAAAAACTGCACAACATTATCTTTACTAATTATTGTACATTTTATTTCTATTTTAGATACTTATTATAATTGAGTTGATATGTAAAATGTCTAATGGTAATCACGATTTACTTTTT